GCAGATGGCCATCCAGCCTGTTTAGAAACCTCCAGAGAAAGACAAGGAAGTTCTTGCTCTCAGAAAGTTCTTCCTAAAGTTTAGGCGAAATCTTTTTTTCCCTGCAATTTGATTATTCCATTTCTCTGTAGCCTGGTCTCTGCAGCAACATAAAACAAGCTTGCCCACTCCTCAGTGTGACAAATATGGCTATCATATCCTCTTTCAAACCTCTCCAAGCTAAACATACCTAGCTCTCTAACTCCTCAAAATGATCATGTTAGTTCCCCTCCTCGACACTATATTCCTATTGTACAACCTAAAGTCACAGATGATTTTTTAGCTGCTACATCACAATGTTGATTCATGTTCCATTTGTGGTCTACTAAGACTCCTAGATTGTGATTGTGTGTGTGTGTGTGTGTGTGTGTGTGTGAGGAGTGACTTGAGAAACCGCCAGTCACTTCTGGTGTGAGAGAATTAATCGTCTGCAAGGATGTTGGCCAGGGGATGCCCGGATATTTTACTATCTTTGTGGGAGGCTTCTCTCATGTCCCCGTATGGGCAGCTGGAGCTGACAGAGGTAGCTCATCTGTGCTCTCCCCAGATTTGAACCTCTGACCTGTCAGTCTTCAGTCCTACTGGCACAAGGGTTTAACCCTTTGTGCCACTGGGGGCTCCGTCAGACTCTTAGATGACTTTCACATATACTGTTTTCAAGCCAGGTGTCACACATCCTATATCTGTGCATTTCATTGCTTTTTGCCTAGGGACCTCATCACAAAGGCTCATTGATTTGCCGTGCATCATGGTGAATCCATGGGCTCCCAGTGGGGCGTGTGGAGAACCTGATGTTCCATGCCCCATATTGCATGACTTACTGTAACCCCCATCCCACTTTCCTCCATTGCTGGTAAGGCAACATGGGATGTCTCCTGTGTGGCTACCATGGTGGCAAGATATGCCACTTGTTTTCTCCTTTCTGAATGGAGCTTGGACGGAACATGCACATTGTGTAATGAGCTCCATCATGAAAGAGAACAAGTGGTGTCTGATGGGCAAAGAAGCCTGTCTGATGAGGTCATAAGTACAGTAGTTTACTGTATTGTCAAAGGCTTTCATGGCCAGAATCACTGAGGTGTGTTGTGGTTTCCGAGCTGTATGGCCACATTCTAGTAGCATTTTCTTTTGATGTTTCACCTGCATCTGTGGCTGGCATCTTCAGAGGAACTCTGATCTTACTATATTTCAACAGTGTCTATATATTTTCCATGTCATTCTCATTGTTCTTATTTCATCAATCCACCCCTTCCCTTAAAAAAGAAACAATTTTGTTTTAATCTTTCCAGAGTTCGCAAATCATTTATTCCAGTCCACTTTTTCTTATAAGTCAAGCTATCCCCAAAGTAACAATATGTCTGTTTAATTTTAACATGTTTGTCCCATTGAAATGGGCTCTCAAAAGGTTCACATAGGCTTCATCTATGCAGATTATCTCTGTGATGTCATCTTCATCTGTCTCTTTTAGTTGAACATGAAAACTTGATTATCTTTTTCTCCATGATGTTGTATGAAATTCATTATTTTTCCTCAGTCTCAAGTTAAATTTGTATCCACTTAACTGCACACACAGTCTGTTTATAGCAGTTCGGTTCAATCCTTTTTAGTTCAATTGCTGTCTCTTCTTTATGAGTTAGTAATTGAGCTGCTATTATTTCCTTTACACTCTCTTGTTATTCGTTTTCTTGTTCTCTTCCTGTAACGTGATTTGTGACTATTAAAATAAGTTTTGCATCAGCTATTATAGCTTTGAGATCCTGTTCAATTATTTCTTTTATTTGAGAAAGTTGTTTCTCAGTCTAATAACATTTGCAAAATCTGTATTTGGTACATCTTTTGGATAATGAAAGTAAAGACTGGAAAGAGTTAGGCCCTTTCTTCACTGCCATATAAAATCCAGATTATCTGCTTTGAACTGGATTATATGGCAGTGTAGATTCATATAATCCAGTTCAAAGCAGATAATTTGGATTATCTGCTTTGATAATCCGGATTTTATATCAGTGTAGATCCAGCCTTAGTTACAGTCAGTTTTCCCCTATGATTTTTTTTGTTTCTCCCTTACGATGAGACAAGGGCTAGATCTACACTGACCTATATCCCAGGATCAGAACCCAGATTAACTTTTTATCCTAGATTAATTCATATAATCCAGTCCAAAGCAGATAATCTGGGATCAGAACCTGGGAAATAATGCAATGTAGATCCAGCCAAAGTGAGGAAGAACTTCTACTCTAAGTCATTTCCCCAAAATCTAGGCTTTGGGGAAAAATTGAATCTCAAGAAGGAGCATTTTACTATATGTGTGAAAAAAATTACCATATGTGTGAAAAATTGAAGAAACGTAGAACTTTTTTTCTTTATTGTATTGTATTTAAGTATTTTTATGCAGATTGTTGTGTGTAGTGTTTTCTTCAGATATATTAAATAATAACTACATTGCAAAAAGAAAATCTAATTGTCATACTCCAGGTACAACACAAGTTAATCTAAGGCCCCTTCTACACTGCTATATAAAATCCAGATTATCTGCTTTGAACTGGATTTCATGGCAGTGTAGACTCATGCAATCCAGTTCAAAGAGATAATGTGGATTATCTGATTTGATAATCTGGATTAGATGACAGTGTAGAAGGGGCTGGAGTGTCTTAAATCTATTTTACTTACCAGAAGTGAGCATCTCTGGAAGGTATGGAGTGCATTAGCCTCCCAAAAGAGCTTTGAAGGCCACCACACACAGCCACCCTACAAATCAATCAATCAATCAATCAATCAATCAGCCAATCAATCAAACAAACAAACACATCAAATCTGTCCTCCCAAATGTCTGTAGATGGTGTGGTGCCACTTTCACCATGTTTTGGGTCATCCTGGACCATTTTAGGCCCAGAAGATGAGTTTTTTTAAATAATAGGAAGTGAATAGAATATACTTTCTGTTAACTTTGTTGTTTCTTTTTAAAGCCTCTCATGAGCTTAAAATTCACTGGGTTTAAAACACTGGTTCTTAACCTGTGGGCAATCAACCACCAGTGAGCTGCGAGGACGAAAATCTGGTCTGCGAGATTCCTTCCTCTTTATTGTATTGTATTGTATTTTATTTATTTTATTTTCGCTTCTTTCACACTGCCTGCCACTCCTTCCCTGTCGCTGACCATGGCATATTTTCTGTATCAGAAACTAGAGATGAGGTGGTCTATCTAATGCAATTTTCTGAATCAGCACCCCAAACTGAATCTAAAGTTGACCAAAAACTGATTCGTAACCCTTTTGTTACTAATGTTGGAAAGTGGTCCCTGGTCAAAGTGGTCTCTGGTCAAGTTGTCTCTGGTCAATGTGGTCCCTGGTCAAGTGGTCCCTGGCCAAAAAAGGCTGGGTACCACTGGTTTAAAAGGACCCCTAAAACATGATAACACATTTCTTTTGCCCTTTGGTTCCACAAAATGCCCACATTTTGCACACTTCATTACATCCTTTCCTACACCTGAAGAAAAACAATTAAAGTAAATGTTCAACATTTGTTAAAAGCTTACGATACTTTTGAATTATTTTCTGTGTACAAAAGAATATTTATTTATGATAGAAATAATCCTAAAGCAAATTACCTCCCACTGTCCCAAAGAAAGGTTGATTAGCTGGACAAAACCATATCAGTTCTTGTACAAATAAAGGAGAGGCCTCAATGTATTTTTAACACCGGGGCAATAGCTTCTGTGTACTTTCATTTCAAATAGAAACAGATGGAATACAGACTTTTATGGCCCTTTTACAACAACACGAATAGCAGAAATTAAGCAGGTCGGGTTTTCCTTTATCTCCACTTTATCTCCATATCAGGAAAAGCTTAAGTGACCAAAGTTATGCTTGGCAGGTTGTTGTGAAACCCCAGTATTTGGACTGTTGGGAAATGTAGCAAGCATAGAAGCAGATATTATCTGTACAATAGGACATAGGGAAGGCTGAGCGAAGGAAGATAGATGCTTTTGAGCTGTGGTGCTGGAGGAAAGTTCTGAGAGTGCCTTGGACCGCCAGAAGATCCAACCAGTCCATACTTCAGGAAATAAAGCCCGCCTGCTCATTGGAAGGAAGGATAGTAGAGGCAAAGATGAAGTACTTTGGCCACATTATTTTTTAATGTTTTACCATCCTTGTGGGAGGCTTCTCTCATGTCCCCACATGGGGAACTGGAGCTGACAGAGGGAGCTCATCCACGCTCTCCCTGGATTCAAACCTCCAACCTTCAGTCCTTGTTCTTCAGTCCTGCCTTACCAAGGGTTTAACCCATTGCTCCATGCGGGGAGGGGAGGGGGGGGGCTCTTACCTATACACCTGGGGTCACATAAAAATCCCCTGGGCAAAATGGGGACTCAAGCTAAAAAAAAGTAAGAAGCCCTGCTTTAGAAGTAGAGGTAAAAGTTTCACCTCGATATTAACCCTAGTAGTGCCTGACTCTGGAGGGTGGTGCTCATGACTGCATGACTGCATGGAGCACCACTACCTTCCTGCTGGAGCGGTACCTATTGATCTACTCAATTTGCATGTTTTCAAACTGCTAGATTGGCAGAGATTGGGGCTAACAGCGGGAGCTCACCCCGTCCCACGGATTCAAACCACTGACCTTCCGGTCAACAAGCTCAGCAACTCAGCAGTTTAACCTACTGCATCACCACAGCCCCTAGAAGTACCATGGTGTATTTGTCTTAATATTGTCATTTGAATAAAATGCTTTTACGTATTAAAATTGGAATCTTGTGACTGCACAGTGTTGGAAATAAGCTTACAGCCATCTATGAAGAATAAACTACTTATTATTTTTCTGCTAAAGAAACAATTATGTCTTTTAATGGTGACAGCCAGTCGGTCATGCAGCAGACAGCATACCTGTGACATTCCTTATCTTAATTTCCCATCAACATTTATAGCACTTGAGGTGTTCTATAAATTTCAAGGATTATCATTTGTATTGCTTCTCGGCCCTTAGCTAAGATCAAGTGTAGTATTGGTTCTTATCAGTTTAATATCTGATGTTAGTAAAGGATGTACTTGTACACGAGACTCATGAGTTATTGGTATTGGTTTTCATAAAAATTTCAGTGCTGCAGAAAACAATTGCACACAGAAACTAAATGTGTGGTTCAGTTAATGTATTTGTATTACATTTCAATCACATTAATTTAAGTTTCACATGTAAAATCCAAACAGCACAATCCTATCCATCATTACTAATAAATTACTGGGAAACCAGTTCTACAGTAAATAAAGAACAACATTCAAAAACAGGGGAACTCCAGACAAGAAACAATCAGGGACAGCTAATCACTTCTCAACAATGGATTCCCCCAGGCAGTAAGAAGTCACACCTTGAAAACTGCCAGGCCATTAAATGCTAATCAAGGTGGCCAATTGAAACATTCACATCTACCTCTTTCTCCCATCCTGGACAGTCCACAGATATACAAATCCGATTTATATATCAGAGCTCACAACCTCTGAGATGCCTGCTATCGATGCAGATGAAATGTCAGGGGAGAATGCTACTGGAACATGGCCAGACAACTCAAAAAACTTACAACAACCCAGTTCTACAGTATTCAGTGGGATTTTCACACAGGGGTATATAGTGTTGTAATCTGCGTCTCAGGATTTCAAGTCTGTTGTCACAGCACAAGAGAGACTCTGTGGACAGTTCATCCGTGCAAAGCCCTTGGAGATGTCGGTCTGCAAGGTGGAGAGAGGCACATTCTCATAGTCTTGCAGGGAAGAACGGCGCTGGCAATTCAGAATCAGATCCTTCACTTCTTTTTTGAAATTCTTATTTAGAAAGCCATAGATGATAGGGTTAATGCAAGCAGATGCCATAGCTACAAGATGACATAATGAGAAGATCAAATCATGGAGACAATTAGGAATGATTTTGTAGTTCCAGTCAGCAATGCTGTTAAAAACATGCAGTGGCAACCAGCAGACTGCAAAGGCAACAACCATGCAAGCCAGCAGGATGTTGATTCGCTTCAGTTGAACCCTTCGGCAACTGAAGTCGTGATTCTTAAACATACCTTCCCTCTTCTGGAGCTGGAGGTAAATATGTAGGTAACACACAACAATAAAGATAAGGGGAATGCAGTACTGTAGCAGCAGTAACACAGTGAAATAAATGAACTGATATTTCTCCGAAGGCCATGAATACATACACATGGCCTTGGTTGAATAGGAATCCATTATGTGGAACTGTGCCAGGTCAACATTATTCAAGATAGAGATAGTTACAAAAGGCAGGGACAAGATAGCAGAAAAGATCCAGACAGCAGCAACGCCCAGATAGGCTTGGGAGATGCTGGGCCTCCAGCCTGTTGGGTTAATAATGAGCTGGTGCCTTTCTAAAGCAATAAGAACAAGTGACAAAATGGACACCGTCACAGACATACACTGAATAAATGAGATCATTCGGCACATACCCTCACCAAATAGCCAGTACTTCAACAAGACGGTGGCAATGGTGAACGGTAGGCAGAAGATGCACATGATCAGGTCTGACGCTATTAAGCTGGCAATAAATATATTTGTCACGATGGCTTTGTCCTGATGTTTGGTTAAGATAACAATCAAGCACAGATTTCCTAGAATGCCTAGAATAGTTTCCATGCTATATAACGTGACGAGAAACATAGTAATGTCGGTAGTATTCCTGCAGGTCAGGATGCTGTGGTAGGGAAAACTCCAATTGGTTTGGAGCTTAGATGTTGAATTTAAAGATATGGTCAGGTTCATTCTGAATCCTGAGAGATGGTGAATTATGAGTCAGCCACTTCCGGTGATCACCAGCTGTCGGGATGGTCTGCAAAAGAAAAAATTATTTTAATTTCAAACTGAACAAATCTAAGCAATACTTGGAAAAATAGGAACTGATGGACAAAGTAGCTCAAAAGTGAAGATTCATTTTAAAAATGTATTATTTTAATGTATTGTTGAAGCAGGCCCGTAGCCAGGATTTCGTTTCCGGGGGGGGGGGGGTGAAATTTTTCAGGGGGGGTTCGGGGCTGAGTTTCGGGGGGGGGGGGAGTCTGAGTGAAAGAGGGTCTAGCCTAGCAAACCTTTTGTATCATTACCCCAATACCCCCATGCATATGGGATATATTGAGTAGGGTGATCAGATCATGATATGAATAAACATAACAGTTTAAATAATGCACCAGTAAGGCCTTTTCGTGAACCACCATGAGAATTTGGGGGGGGGGGGGCTGAAGCCCCCCAAGCCCCCCCCCCCCCCCCCCCCGGCTACATGCTTGTCTTGAAGGCTTCCATAGCTGGAATCCCTGGGTTGTTGTAGGTTTTTCGGGCTATATGGTCATGTTCTAGAAGCATTCTCTCCAGATGTTTTGCCTGCATCTGTGGCAGGCATCCTCTGAGGTTGTGAGGTCTGTTGGAACTAGGAAATTTGGGTCCATATATCTGTGGAATGACCAGGGTGGGACAAAGAACTCTTGCCTGTTGAAGGTAGGTGTGAATGTTTCAGTTGGCCACCTTGATTAGTATTTGATGGCCTGGCAGTTTTTTGTTAGTGCCTGGGGGAATCTTTTGTTGAGAGGTGATTAGCTGTCCCTGATTGTTTCCTCTCTGGAGCTGCCCTGTGTTTGAGTGTTGTTTTACTGTTATAATTTAGACTTGTTCAATACTGGTAGCCAGATTTTGTTCATTTTCATGGTTTTCTCCTTTCTGTTGAAATTGTCCACATGCTTTTGGATTTCAGTGGCTTCTCTGTGTAGTCTGACATGGTGGTTGTTAGAGTGGTCTAGCGTTTGTGTGTTCTCAAATAATATGTGTGTCCAGGTTGGTTCATCAGGTGCTCTGCTATGGCTGACTTCTCTGGTTGAAGGAGTCTGCAGTGCCTTTCATGTTCCTTGATTCGTGTTTGGGCAATTATTATATTCATGTTTTAAATCTTTTTTTTAGAAATGTATGGTTCATCTGAGAAGAAATTGGGAGCACAAATATTACAAATGTTATTGTTAGCACATTTTTGTACTTGTACAAATCTTTATTTTGTAACTGTGTGCACTTCATCAAGCCTGGTTATTTTAAAGAGGACTTTTATTATGCAGAAAATTATAATATAGATATTTAAAAACTGACATGTCATATATAGGGACATTACCTATATATTGTATATATTAAAAGGATATGTACCTAGCATTGCCTGGGTGTCATTGGGCTCACTGCCTGCCTACTTTCTCCCTTCTCCAGCTCTATCTCCTGGAAATGCTCTGGCAATGGTCAGCAGGCTCTTTTTGCGGCTCTTCCTCTCATGCACATGCCACCTTTCTTTCCCAGTGGCACCACAGAGGGCCACCTTATCAAGCAATAAACTTTATGGTGCAACAGACAGACAGGCAAACATACAGCTTATATCTCTCTACATAAAAGTCAGAGATATAAGCTCAGTAGGTAAGAAGTCCTCTCATTTGTTTACAAAGCTAATAATCTAAGCAACCATAAAATAAAATACCAGCAATATTAAAAGGAGCATTAAGTACCAGAAATAAAATAGTATCAAATGATAAAAAGATGCAACTTCAGATCAATCTAAACCAATCAATTAAAAGTTTCATTTGCAAATAGATATAAATAATAAAACTTACTATTCTGTGCCATTGGTAGTAAATGGACCAACAACTGGAGAGCCAACTCTACCTTCAACTCAGCACTTGTTCAAATCCAGTGAAAGGAGGAAATTTCATAAGGCCAACATAGAAACACTTTTTTCCTCATGTTTGTTAACTTGATGGATTTTACTGACAAAGGAAGGTTTTCTGTGCACAAATATTAGACTAGATCAATTAATTATGCTCATTGTTACAAATCTTCCAGCCCTTTAAGCTAGCTCTCTGTAAAAACTGGCTTTTCTTTCTGCTGGCCCAATCCAGTAGGTAAAAGAGATGCAGAGTCTTCTATAGTCTATATAAACAAAGTCTCTTGATAAGTACAACAAAGGGTCTTTTTTATTAGTATCTTTGAATCTTATCAGCTTATGGGTAGCTAGGGAAGAGCAGGTTGAATTATAGGAGTCATTATTAAGTTTGTATAGAGCAGCTTTAAATGGATGGCATAGAACAGGCCTGCACAATTTGGCAGTAGGAAGGGACTAATATGAAAACAGGCAATTTCCCAGACCGAAAAGCAATTGGAGAGTCCATCTTCCCTCTGACTTAGAAAAAAGATTTCCCCTCTCTGAGCTTCAAGATCGAGTCCATTCCCATCACTGGTAGCAGGAGAACTGGCAACAATGTCAGCCTCTTCGGGCCACTCACAATGGGCATTATGTTGTGCAGATCTAGCATAGAATTAACATGCAAAAAGAGATTAGGGACTTCATTGCATGAAGGTGGCACTACATCATTGAGGTGCTCATCACAGTGCTAGTCTGCCTTCTCCCTGTCATTAACCCATCTTCTGCTATCGATGGGAAAACCTGTCAATAGCTGCAGATCATGGCATCTTCCCAACGCCTACCTGGTGAGATGAAGTCATTCAATTTCTGGCATTGGATCCTCCTCCTCTCCCACCCTCCCTTCACCCATTACTTTTGAGGCACTACTTTTCATTTAATTTTTTTTTAAAAAAACCCATCTTAGCTGGAATTCTGAAATCGCTTAAAGAATATATATAGTTACAGCACAGCAAGAGTATGCAGGTTATGCAGAAGTACAACTGCAGTGAATTGGTGCAATTGCTTGAATGAAGAGGTGTGCAGCAGTGAGGGTGCTCATCCTGGTATGTTGCTGCTATTGGTGATCATGACACTGCCATGGAAAAGTGGCTTGGTACCATAAAGTCATGGGTTTTCTGGGTTTAGAGAGGTGTGGTCCTAATCGAAATCAAGGTCCCCATACCTGCATTGTGTGTGTGTGTGTTTGGCAGGGAGCATCTACATGAAGTAACTTAGGGGAGGTTCTTTCTCCTCCCCAAATATTTTATAGTGACACTTCCCTAAAGGCATTAATTCCATCAGTCTTCAAAGAGAGTCCTGATCACAATTGGGTCTTGGTTTTGTACCCTCTAGGTTTTTTCCCATATTGTGTGAAGAGAAAAAGAAGCTTTCCCATTACAGCCAACATGGAAACCAAGCTGCCAGCAGTGGGCAGGGAAATAATAGGGCTGAAGAGAAGAGGTCTGTGCTTTGTTTGGGGACCACATCAAGGGCCAAATCTAGGCACAGGGAAAACAATCCAAATGTACCTTCCTCAGAAATCACTGGGTCCACCGCCAAATGGGCATGTAGTGAGGTGGGTTTTTTTATACATTTCAGAGGATCAATTTAAATGTTCATTTGGGCATATTTTAGACAGGATCTTGAAGCTCAGAAAGGGGAAACCTTATCTGGAACTCAGAGGTGGGTGGGCTCTCCAATTGTATTTCAGTCTGGGAAATTGGCACATATAAATCACAGATTGCGTTTACAACCCTGAAATTTACACATGACCATTTGAGAAACTCTGAAAACATTATGTTTGTATAAACTTCTAGGCCCTTAGTCATTTTTTTCTTGTGTCAGGAGCTACTTGAGAAACTGCAAGTCGCTTCTGATGTGAGAGAACGTCTGCAAGGATGTTACCCAGGGGACGCCCGGATGTTTTGGGGCTCCACCATTCTTGGGGAAAGCTTTTCTCATGTCCCCACATGGGGAGCTGGAGCTGACAGAGGGAGCTCAACCCACTCACCCAGGATTCGAACCACTGACCTGTCGGGGCTCCTCTCCCTAGTGATGTACAGCTTTTTCTAACTTACATGGTATAAATAGCCACAACACGGAGAGAACAATTGAAAACAACATTGAATCATGTAAATATTCATACAAAACATAATGTAGTTGTGTGGCTCATAAAACATATTTTGTGGCAATCTTTGCTTTTATTCATCTCTTTATTAGGCTATAATAAAGGTGGTTACATTTATAAAAACTCCCAGGACATATCAACTCCCTATTTCAGTCAAAAAGAAGCAGGAGCAGGCATGCGGTGGCTATTATTTAGAGACCAATGACAGATTGTGGTCACTGTCCTGAGGATGGATGTACTTCCATTTTTCAGTATCCGTTTCCCCCCTTTGCAGGCCTCTAGGAAATTGAGTGTGGCTGGCCATGTGTGTCTGATCTCATGCTGCTGCAGGAAATGTAGAAGCAGAGGTATCATACAGTAGGAATATCCTATCTGGATACATTGGCTTAAATTCAATTCCTAGTCCCAACCAGATGTATTGAATCAATACACCTAGACAACTGTTGATTTACCATTCAGTAATTGATTCAATGTAGCAGTTTGATTTAGTCTTCTCATTTTCCTATTGCTAACAACCGGGTGCTAATTCTGCTTGGTGATAAGTGGATTGAAACCTAGAGTATGTCAAAGAAATTCATCATTGTTATAGTGAAATCCATCTTTCTGAAATACTTTAGAGTTCTACTATAATTCTACTATACTTTAGGCGTCTCATTTGGGTTGATAAACTGACAGAATACACTATTTTGCCGGCTAATCTTTCCAGCCCCTCCTAATCCCCAAAGATTTTACAAAGAGAGTTGTGTTTTATTTAGAAAAACACAAGAAGAGCTGCAAAAAGTGAAATACGCACGCACACACAAGGACACACACAATGTTTGATAGTGATAAACATATTTGCAGTAGCAGCAAACAATCCTACCTTTTGTCATTTCTGAGTATCAGCATTGCAAACACCCCACAGGTACTTTCATGGGCAAAACCAAATGGAACAACAAAACTAGCACCAAATAATTTTACTAGGTTTTAAACTTGGATATTATACACTGTTTTCAAGATGTCT